GGAGAGAGGGGGGAGGAGGGGAGCGGTTGTTGGGCAACCTCCCGGCTAACCAAGTGGACCTCGCCCCTTGTATATTGGCGTGCAACATTTGGAAGGGTGGCCGGGTCGTTGATCCTCTCCCCGCCTCGCCTCCCGAGATTACCTACCAAAGGGTTACATTCAAGGGGCAAAGTGTGTATGTGTGTGTGAGAGAGAGAGGGAGAGAGAGAGAGAGAGCGCCCAGTCAGGATGAAAACAAAGAGCCAGGCGCAGATCGCACTCCGGGAAATTGAGACCCCAAGCGGGGGAGCACCGCGATCCTAGCAGGATCGCACACGGACGCCGGGTAACTGGCTCCTCGACCAGCGAGGATGGGGTCGAGAGAGCTCAGTTGGCAGTGTCAGTGGCGCCACATTACTCGGTTGTTATGGGCCCAATTAAGCGCCACCAGGGGGTTGGTCTCGGATGGAGTTACATGGGCTTTAATTGATCCCGGCAACCGACGGGGGGGGGGACGGAGGAGAATTGTCCAGCCCCGTCCCCACGCAGGGGAGGGGGGGGGGGGGGGGGGGGGCCGACCGCGCCGAGGAAAGGGAGACAGAGCCAGAGAGGGAGAGCGCAATCAGGGCTTCAGAAGATGGGTGGATTCCCGAGAAACCGCCCCCGCTCGGTGTGGAGATTTGTTGGACGCCCAAAGATAAAAAGACTCTGGAATGGCATGCGTTGGTACCAAGGTGTGAATTAACAGAACGCCCAGGCTGAGGGGTGTGGGGTTGCCGCACCCCACCCCGGCCGGGAGGGGGCCCGCACAGGTGCCCCTCATTCCTCTGTGCCCTTGTCTCTTCAGGCTCATGGGGCTGCTGCCGGAGCTCTGCCTGACACATTTTTATCAGGGGGGCACCTTGACCGTGTTCGGGGACCTCTGCCTGCAGGCGCGCCTGTGCCTCCCGGTGAAGAGGTTCCAGCAGTCTGTTCAATTGGGCCAGGTGGGGATGGTCGTAAGCCCTGGCGTGCAGGCGGAGGGGGCCTCTCATGAACGTTGACAAGGACTTGCTTCAGCCGCGGACCTCGGAGACGCTCGCGCAAGGCCTGCCCGGGGGGGGGGCATAACGACATTGCCAAGCCCCCCCCGTGCGCGGCGAGGGTGCCCGTGCCTCTTCATGCCCCTGGCCACATTGTAGCTGCTGTTGGTGACCGGTGGGGGATGGCCTGAGGATGCCAAGGTACCAGCCGAAGGGGCTCCCTCGGAACGCCCCGCGGCCCGGTTGAACATGAGGACGGGGCACGTTTGTTTGTCCTTCAGAGCCCTTTCGGAGGCCTCGCAGTGAGGGCACCCGGATGATGGCGGAGAGATACAACGTCCGGAAGTCGGGCGCACGAGGCAGCATCCCCCAAGTCCGACGTGCTGTGCGCGGCGAGGGGCGGAGGGGCGGAGGGGCGGACGGGCGGAGGGGCGGAGGGGCGGGGGGGAGCGGCGAGGGATAGCGAGGAGGCCGGATTTCCCGCCTGCAGACGAGTGTCGCGGCCCCTCCCCCTGGCCCTGCCCCGAGGCGCACGCATTTTCCGGTGCCCAGACGCCTGGGTGCCGTTGCGTGAAGGCCCGGCGCTCCGGTGCTCTCTGGCGCACATCACTGTGCATTTACATCTGCAGGGTCCATTGTCAGGTAGACACGCCCCTTGCCATTCGGCCCCGGGGTCGGGGCTGGTTGGTGTGCCCGGCAGGACCCCGCCCTATCTTTTTTTTTTTCAGACCATACGTCCCGGAGGCAAGGCCCCCCCCTCTCTGGGCGGCTGAACGCGTGCCCGCGTATGTTGTGATGCGCTCTCCGGGGAAAGTCGGCCATAACGCTGCTGTCTCCCCCTGCTGCCCCTGGACCTGCCCTGGCCCCGGAGTCGGGGGCGGCGGCGCATTAGTCCGGAGTGTGCGGAGGTGCGCGCGTGTGTTCACACCCCGGGAGGGTTGGCTCCGGGGGCCGGGGACTCCCTCCAGGCTCGACAATAGGGGGCGCGCATCCCCCCCCCCCCAAAGAGTGGCGAGCGGGCAGCGTCCGGGCACGGCGCGCCGCGCCGCGCCGTGCGCGCGCGCGCGCGCGCACCCCGTGCGGCGGTGGACACCTCGATTGCCGGCCCCGGCCTGCCAGCGTGCGCCCGCGAGAGGCCAGGCCGGGCGGGGGAACAGCGAGAAAAGGCGCTCTGGCCTCCCGGGGGATGGTGATGGCTTCTACCTCGAAGGACTTGTGAAGCTCTTGCTCATTTGGCTTCCCGCCTCTCCTCCCTCCCCCTCCCCCTTCACCCCCCTTCCCTTCGCGTCGCCCCCTGCTCGGGCTTCTCCTTCTCTCATCCCCCCCCCCCGTGCCGTGAGTCACCCCCCCCCCTATCCCTCCTCCCACCTGCCTTTCATGCTACATCTTCGGTCCTTTCGCCTTCTTTTGCTCCTTGCGTCTGCCCGCTGGAGGGCCGGGTTGCCTTGCATCAGCAGGAACGCCGGTGCCCTCAAGCCCCCCTCGGCTGGGAACTGCCCCTCCCCGGCTCGCGTACTTGGTCTTGCAGCGCGCCTCGCACCCTCCCTCTCTGGCACCCCCTGGCGGCTTTTGCCATCCTCGACCTTCCACCCCTGACCGTTCCCTCCTCTCTTTCTCTCTCCCTCTATCTCTCCCGTCCTCCCCCCCCACTCCCCTACTTGGCCCTACTCCCCTCTCCCCCATTTCCCGACTTCCCCCAGCCTCCTGTGCCGCGGTGACCCTTCCCCCCGTTCGTTGGTGCGGAGCCCCCTTGCCCTCTCTCTCTCATTCCCCCCCCCCTCCATTCTCCTCTCCCTCTCCATCTGGTCCTGTTCTCCCTAACGGGCTTGCCCTGTCTCCCTTTTGCTCTCCCCCCCCCACTACTTCCTCTCTTCGCCCAAGAAGTTCTCAGGGCCGCTCTCCTTCCCACTGGAGGGACTCGTTGCTGCTGCTCTCCCGCTGCCAGCATGTACTGGTCTCTCGGCTTTCGGCAGTCCAACTCCCTTGACCTGCTGCTCGATCGGAGCACGGTCAACCTCGAGGAGCTCCTGAACGACCCTGACATCATCAACGATGTCCGGAACTCGAAGATTAAGCTGATCAACTTGTGCGTTGTCGCCGGCTTCCCTTCCCCTTCCCACCCGTCATGCACCCGCATGCGCCCCGGTGTGCGCCCCGTGGTGCCCCGTGTCCAGGACTGACCCGGACGTCTCCCCTCCTGGGGGTTTGATCTCCCCCGCATCCTCCGTAGCCTCTCCCGCCAGGAGAACTGCCGGAAGCTGCTCGACTACATCATCGAGGAGCCCGATCTCTCTGGAACCACCAGCACCGACCACATTCGCTATCGGTTCCCTTTCATTGCCTCGGAGATCATTGCCCTTGGTCCGATCGGCATTCTTGAGACCATTCTCAACGATACGGCCTATCTCGGTGGTGTGTGGGACCGGTTTTTCTCCAGCCCCCAGGTCAACCCCCTGGAGGCGTCTTTTTTCTCCAAGCTCTTCTGCACTCTCCTGCAGGAGTTCCCCAGCCGTGTGCGTCCTCTTGGTCCCGTCATCAGCCACATCCCTTCTGTTCGCACCGCTCTCCCCCCCCGCCCCCCACCCCCAGAGCCTCCCCTCTTGACACTGACCCTTGCCCCTGACCCCCCCACCCCTCGCAATATAGACCTTTGAGCTCATTTCCTCCTTCACCAATCCGATTGAGTGCCTCACTCGCAACATCCATGCGTCTGGCCTCTGCGACTTGCTGATCAAGATCGTTGTCAGCGAGCAGACCCTCTGCGAGACCCAGACCAACGAGTGGGTCCGCTCCTCAAATCTGGTCAACCTCCTGGTGGAGAAGATTTCCGTCGATTACTCCTCGGACGTACGTGGACTGCCTCCCTCCCCTCGCTCTCTGCCCTTCTCCGGTCCATTCCTCCTGCCCCATGTCCGCACTTCCACTCTCCTGCCCTCGAATTGACCCTCCCCTTCCTCTCTCTTCCCCATCCCCCCCCCCCCCCCCCCCCCCCCCCCCCCCCCGCACGTGCCGCACCATCGTCCTCCGACAACAGTTCCACTCCAATGCCCTTCAGCTCCTGATCGATTTGATGTCCTCCATGCAGGTGACCCTCGGCGCGGATCAGTCCATCATCACCCTCCGGCCACTGGTTGATGTGTCGGAGCTCATTAACGGTGGTATTTTCTCTCGCATCCTGGAGGAGGTCATCCGCGCCCACGAGCATGCCAGCTCCGAGTCGGTGGAGCAGCGCGCCCGGGCCAGCAGCGTCCTGCAGAATGGCCTGCTGTTCCTGTCGAACATCGTCGACCACCTGAACATTTGTGTCTTCCGGTACAAGGAGCGCGAGCAGTTCCACGCCCGGCACATGCGTCTCGGGGGCGGTGGTGACGATGATCATGACATCCACTCCCCGGGCGGCATGGACAACTTCGGTTTCGAGAACGACCTGTGGCTCAATGGCATCGACTCGCTGGAGACCCTGAACCAGCTGATTGATCGCTTCGTCCAGATCCTTGACGAGCACCTGGACTTCCTGTTCTCCCTCTTCCACCATGTCTACGAGCCTGTGCGTCCCTGCCTCCCTGCCTCCCTCCCTCCCCCTCTCTCTCTCTCTCTCTCTCCCCCCCCATGCTTCCCTTCTTCTCGTGTCCGTGTGTGTGTCTATCCGCCCCTCTCACCCCCTGCTTGGGTCTTTCGTCACACCCCCCCCCTTTCTTTCCTCGGCCTGCCTGCTGTCGCAGACGGGTGAGCTGGCCGGCACCTCCTTCCAAACTTCTGGGCGCTATGGCGCCGTGCGCTTCCGTGTGGCTGAGTTTTTCTCCCTGCTTGCCAAGCTTGACCACCCGCACTTGCGTGAGCGGGTTCTCCACCTCGGCATTGTGGAGGAGCTTGTCGATGCCTTTTTCTCCTTCCCTCTTCACAACCTCCTCCATCGGGTGGTGTTCGAGCTGATCATGATGATCATCAAGGGAGAGTACTCTCCCTCGAATGCCTTCATCGAACGCGTACGCTTCGCTCGCTCCCTTGTCAATCGCTTGGGTGTTGGGGGCACCTCCCCCCCCCTCCTCCGCCTGCCGAAACTCACGCGTGACTTCCGTGTCTCTGCGTCCCCCCCCCCCCTGTCTGCCCTGCTCGCGCGCCACTCGCCATAATGTGTCATTTGCTGACACCCCACCGCGCGCACAGCTATTCATCAATGCGCGCTTTGTTGAGCGCATCTTCGACGCCTTCCGCCTCAACCAGTCTCTGGAGTACGCACATACGCCGCGCCTGCCCTTGATGCTGCCATTCCCCCCCTTCCCCTCTCCCTCCCCCACCGCCTTGCCTTCCTTGCTAACAAGACGCCCTTCTTCCTCCTCTGTTACCCTTCCCCCCGCACTCCTGTGTCCGTACCGCCATCTCGCCCTTGCGCCCCAGGCATGAGGTCAAGGGTGCCAACAATCGCCGCCTGGGCTACATGGGCCACATGCTGATTCTGGCCAACTTGGTTTGGAACTTCTCGGACTTCCTGTACAACAGCCCGAAGCCCGGCACTGCGCGCGCGTCCAATGGCGATTATGACGGCAACGATTCGGACCCCCCTCCGCCGCAGTACATCCAGGAGGTGTCGGACGAGGTCCGGGCCATCTTCTTCTCCGAGGACTGGCGCCTTTTCGTCGAGGACACCCTGGACCAGCTGCTGGAGGAGAGCAAGATCCCCCTGGGCAGCGGCCATTCCATGATGGACTCCTTCGCGGACCAGGGCCACGATGACGATGAGGAGGAGGACGAGCTCGACCATATGACCCCCCTGCCGACCGGGGACCTGCTTGGGCTAATGCTCGGAGCCTCGGGCGGTCTTGGGGGCAATCACGGCCTCGGCGGCGGTGCCCATGGCGCCGATGACGAGGACGACGAAGATGACGAGGACGACGAGGACGCCAGTGGTGGCCCCGACGACAAGCACGGCGCCGATGGCACGTCCGATGAGGACGACGACTTCGATGACGATGATGATGACGAGGGCACGCGCCAGCAGCGGGCACGCTCCTTGAAGAACCGCCTGAACCTGGAGGGCGACTACCATGACTCCAGCACGTCGCTCGGTGACAGTGCGTTCGCCCCCCATCACACCTATTACACCCAGCAGCAGAAGGATGAGCTCCTGGCGCGTTACACGTCCACAATTGTGGCGGACCAGTTCGCGCGGGACCTGTCCGAGCATGATGAGCTGGTCGATGGCCTGGACGATGACAGTGACGACGCCGACATGTCGTCAGTGCTCACCTACGGCAGCGGCTCCGATCCTCTGGCTTCCTCCCTCGTCGACAGCTATTACGAGGCATATGCTGACTTCTTGCCCGCGACCTCCTCCCTGTCGTCTGGTTCTGGCACTGCCGCCGCCGCCGCCGCCGCCGCTGCCGGTGTCGCCGCCACTGCCCCCCTCGCAGGTGGTCACCGTTCCGGCAACAGCAGCCCCGGTCTAGCTGGGGACCTTCTGGTTCTCGATGGCGAGGGTGATGACAACCTTGGCTTCGGTGAGGTTGTCTACGATGTGGCCACCGGGGCCTACCAGTCGGATCCGCTGACCAGCGCTGGCACTGCCTCCGGTGCCAGCATCTCGGGCCTGGCCTCGACGGCTGGCGGGCAGTTTGCCGCGGCCGATTGGGAGATGAAGCCCACCGAGGGTGCTGGTGATGCTGGTTCTTCGACCACTCCGGCTGCCGACTCCTCATGAGGGATTTTGTGTGCCGGCCCTCGCGACGCGATCCCACATTGAACGTGTAAGTATGTTTCGATGATTGGGCGAGACGAGGCGGAGGAGGAGAAGAAGGGCCGCGAGATCGAAAAAGTGGGGCCACCCCCTGGTCGACGGCAGATAGCCAAGCCACGCATCGGGGAGCCAGACCGCGATTATTCAGCGCAGCGACGGATGGCGAAGTGCCTGTGGCCCCTGTTTTTCCCCTCCACATGGCCCTGCTCGGATTTCGGTCCCTTTGTGGTTTCTTGTTTTGTTTGCGAGCGCGCCTACGGGAGGGGGGAGGGGGGCGAAGGAGATGCGCCAGGGGGAAATCTCATGCTCTGCAGCATTTCTGCCGATGGCGCGCGGCTTCTTCCTTCCCTCTGGAGCCCAAATGGGGTTGCCTCCTCTCCGTCAGGCGTGCCTCTCCTCCTCATACTCGGCATCTCTCTCTCCCTCTCTCTCCCCCCTTGAGACCTGTCAGGCTGGGTGTCCCTGGGCGTGTTTCCCCACCTTGAGAGCCGTGCATTTCCTCCCCGCTCTTGTCGTTGCTCGTCCTCCTCTCCATCCCCCTCCCCTCCTCCTGCCTCCTCCCCTTGGGCCTGCCCTCTACTCCCTCTCCCGCCTGGCCTCCATGTGCTGCTCTTGTTTCATGCCGCGCTTTCTTCTCCTCCCTCCCTCTCTCTCTCTCTCTCCTGCACATGGGGGCACGGCTGGTGCGTGCGCCAGTGGTGCCTTCGCATTCCCCTTCTCGGAGGGGATACGAAGCAGCCCATGCGTATGGTCAACCCCCTGTCAGCCTTCCTCGTCTGCTCTTCTCCCTCTCCCGAGGCGCATCTATGTGTCTTGTCCACCTCCTCTTGCCTCCCGCCTCCTCCCACCCTCCTCTTTGTCGCTATCTGGCACACCCTGCGCACACACAGGCACTCTCTTCTTCTTTTCCTCTTGAGTCTCGCCGTGTTGTTTACCTGCCTCCTCCTTACCTTCTCGCCAGGGGCGCCATGTGGCCGCAATTTTTTAATATACTTGGATACACTCTCTCTCAGAAAAGCCGCCCTCAAAGATGGACTGCGCGCGCGCCTCTCTCTTGCCTTGCCATTATTCCTCTGCTCGGTTGGGAGCAGGAGAGAGGGGCCACCCTGGCCTTGGATCCCGGTTTTCCGGGCCATATCCTCTCTGTTGGCGCGCGCCGGGTCGGGGGGCCTCGGTGTTTGTGCACCGGGCAGCTCCTCCAAAGGGTGTCGGGAGGGGGGGCGGGAGGGGGATGGGCGATCGCCAGGGCTAGCGGGGCTCCAGTCTCCCGCGAAGGGGAGGGTTATTGTTTGCTGGGCTTGGCCAGGCCTGGTTCTGAATATGCAGGATCACGCGCACAACTCACATGGAAATCGAAATCCAGATCTATGTCTGTGGCCACCTGTGTGCTGAGGCCGGATGCCCGGGGCCTGTTCGTGGTACGTCAGAAGGGCACCCAAGGGGGGGGGGGGGGGGGGGGGGGGGGGGGGGGGGGGGGGGGGGGGGGGGGGGGGGGGGGGGGGGGGGGGGGGGGGGAGCGGTGGGTGTCGATTTCAGTCGGCCTGTGCCGTGTGCCCGGGGTGCCTCCCTCCCGGGCCCTCTCCCCGGGGGAGACTGACGGAGCGTGGCCAGGGCCGGGGTGTGCTTGCTCTTCCAGGAATGCTGGGGTCCCCTCTCGGGGCGATTCCTCTGGTAACGGCGGATCCCCGCGCACCTCGCAATATGCCCTCCCCCCGGCCCCGGCCCTGCACGTGTGGGGGCGCTGTTGTGTGTGCCGGGGGGCGGAGCGGGGGCCTAAGACATTTGGCTGAATGCTGGCGTGGGAGGTGTTCCGTTCTTCGTGGTGCGGTCTCCCGCAATCCCCGATCTCCCTGCGAAGGGAATGGTCCTCCCGAGCAAAAGGGACCGGCCTCTCAATCGGTTACCAGCCTGGGTTCGGCCGCAGCGGGGCGGATCCCCGCACCTGTGGCATGCTCTCCATCGTGCCCGCTTCCGACAGACGATATCCTTCTGTTGGGTTCGAGTCATTAACACCGGGGATCGGCACACGCGCACATGCGCACGCGCGCGCGCGCGCGCATGGCAACCGCAAGTTCCGGCCCTCCGCTGTGGTCTCGGCCACTGAGCTGGGGCCCGGGGCCCTCCTGAGCGGGGTGTCACCTGGGGCCTCTCGACAGGGAACACAGGGGTCTCGAAGGGCGCGGGGATTCTGTCCTGCGAGACCCACACCAGCGCACCTCTGTCCTCGCCCCCTCCCCGCCCCCCCCCCCCGGATGACAGCATCAGAGTCTCGCGCTGGGGCTCGGCTTTCTTTGGCGCGGCCAGCCGCGCCGGGGGAGATCCGTCCCCACACGGAGGCCCGGCCCATCCGCGCGGGGGTGCCTTGGGAGTCGTCCGCGGCCTTGCTTCCATTGGCAATTCGGCCTTCCACCAGCGTGCCCTCTCAGACACCCTTGTTTAGGCTCCCGGTCTGTTGGTTGGAGCGCGCCTCCGAGCACGCGGTGCTGGCCCCCCAGCCTCGCCCTCCGGGGGCCCGGGGAACGTGCGGCGAACGTGCGACTCCATGTCCCGTCCCCCCGCCCCGATCCTCCGCTCTGAGGCCCTCATTGGGGGGGGGGGGACCAGCTTGTAGGTTAAGTGTTCAGGCAGTGGCCGGTATTCCCGCGCGCAAGGGCATATATTCAGACGCGGTCAGCGGGGCAGGGACGTCGGTGTGTAGGGGACTCTTCTCAGGGAAGGGCAGGCTTGGGGGGGCCTGCGCGCGGGACCGGCGGGGAAGGGCGAGGAGCGCCGGGCCCGGAGTCCCTGGATGTCGGGAAAGGGGGGCGGCTCTGTGGGACATGAGAAAATTGTGGCCCGAATGTAGGGGCGTGCGCGCGCTCCATCACATTGCCCTTTTGTTTACGATTGTCCCCACGCTGACTCCAATCTCCCCCGCTCCTCTGTCTCTGTTTCTCTCTCTCTCCCGTCTGCAGGGGGTGGGCGGCGCCCATGCTCCTGAGAATTCGGCCGCTTCCTGCTGCTGGCCCCCGCCCCCCCCCCCCGGGGCTGGGGTAGGCAGGGACAGCTTCCTCGCCCATCGTACCACACAATCCTTGCTGTGCGGTCGGGAAGGGGGGGGGGGGACACATTCGCGTCCAAACAACAGCAGCCCCGCTCGGCCGAACCTTTGAATCCAGTTTCTCCTTGCCCAACCGTTGGCGCCTGGATCCTCTCCAGACGGGCGAAATACGTCCGCCCCCCGGGCCCCGGGCCCGC